TATATCACAAAGCTTCTGTGTCAGATTAACCAATCTGAAAACTGCCTTAAAAACAATTTTATATCACAAAGCTTCTGTGTCAGATTAACCAATCCAAAAACTGTCTTAATAACAATTTTATATCACAAAGCTTCTGTGTCAGATTAACCAATCTGAAAACTGCCTTAAAAACAATCTTATATCACAAAGCTTCTGTGTCAGATTAACCAATCCAAAAACTCTCTAAATAAGAATCCTATATCACAAAGCTTCTGTGTCAGATTAACCAATCCAAAAACTGTCTTAATAACAATTTTATATCACAAAGCTTCTGTGTCAGATTAACCAATCTGAAAACTGCCTTAAAAACAATCTTATATCACAAAGCCTCTGTGTCAGATTAACCAATCCAAAAACTCTCTAAATAAGAATCCTATATCACAAAGCTTCTGTGTCAGATTAACCAATCCAAAAACTGTCTAAACAAGAATCCTATAATGTTGTGTACACAAAACTAGTGAAAACGAGCAAATAAAAAATGCAAGAAAGATCTTTACCTTCGAAAACATATGGATTTCGTCATTCTTAAATACAGGTGTTTAATTTGTTTTATTACATCTCTCTGTATAATTATACCTGTTAATTTGTTGTCTATCAAATGCATGCGTATAAATTCGTCCTCAGCTACAGATTCAATTTCCACTAACTTTGCCTGAAGAGTATTGCAAAATGACTGAAAAGAAAAATTTATATTTTAAGTTTTGAATTGGCAATGTGTGTATGATTTGTTTTGAATTTGTTATTACGAACAAACATACTCTTTTTCAACTAACAAATATTTGAATTTTGAAATTGAAATATAGGGAAAAGATCCAGAGGTTTTAAATATTTTTTCTATTTTATTTATTAGCAAAAATACTTTGAGTGTATTAAAAAACAGAAATGATATTAAGGTTTAACTGATAATATGAATATGAAAAAAGTTTTTAAGCTTGAAAAGCATTGTTTGCATACTTCCAATTAAATGTTAGCATAGACCATTAATATTTGCGTTATAAAAAATAATTTAATTTATATGTATCAAAATAAACTTAGAATTTTAAAAAGATGCCATTTTCCAACATGCAATATTAAGATTATATAATTAATATTGCAAAGCATTTTATTCATAAAGAAGGTTTCCAACTTTAAACCTTGAAAAATTTATAATGCAGATGAAGAGGTAACGTAAAAGTGCCCTAACCATAGCGACCATCCAATCTTCAGAGTCATCATTAACAAATAAATAACACGAAGATTCACGGAGTATCCAACCATGGGGACAGGAAGGAGGCTGGGCAGTTACCAAGGTAACTTATAAACAGAGAACAAATGACGTAAATAAATGGAAAAAAATCCATGCTGATCTTTAAAATAAAATTTGAATTAAATAAAAGAATAATTTGAATTTCAATTGAAAACAATCAAATCAATGAAGTTTAAGTGATACTAATCACTCACTCAAATCACAACCCTCTTTTAACATCCAGAAATAACCACATCAAAATATTACCTGCATTCAGTAGTACTAATGTTATGAAAATGGCAATCATTCCGTCTTGAAAACAATCCTTTTATCGCTAACTTACAGGAACTATTTCGTAACTGCAATACAAAGATAATCGACCTACGGAACATTGACAAGGCGCCTCAAAGTAGGTTATACTGCTGTGAGTATCTTCAGTAGAGAAACATGACTTCTTACTTTTCATACGAAAAATATCTAAAAGAGGTAGACAGAAATAATTTATTGGAAATTATTTGCATAAGTATTAAATGTAAAGAATATGCAAAATAAAATTAGACTCATATGCTACTGAGTATACAAAGACATCACGTTTTCTAATATGTTTTGTGGTATATTGGGAATATTAATTAAAAAGAATTTTTTTAGTCGACTGAATATATCCAAGTGAACTTGAAATGATAGACACCACAGAGGCTGTCAATTCTTTTTTAATTTTTGGTGATTAACTGACCAAAGATATTATGGACAATTATTCGCTACTAAAGAGCTTGCTCCGAAAGTTATCCATTGTAAAAGCGAGGTATTCTACTGAAGAAAAGGTTGATGTTATAGGGATTACAACAGCCTCGTTTAAAGTTAGCATTTCGTAAATCGTATATGGTCGTTGTAATGACTTTGTAAGTAAATGTAACCTTTCTTTGGGTCCTATTTTGGCTGGCTTGTTTCATATCAGTTGTAAGGCCTTTGTTTTTTTCATAGTAAATTGACAACGGAAAGTACCTAATCAATACACAACGCTCACGTTGGCTGTAACCGGTCACCAGGGGAGGCGTACTCCTTCCAGGTACATGTTGCATCCTCTTGAATTTCCAGGGGTCCGTGTTTAGAAGCATGACATAAACACTCACCAAAAAACATTCCCAGAAATCAGGTCAGTATTGAAAAGTTTAAATATAAAAGTGGTTCGGGGGCTTTTAACGAATTTAAATTTACCCTTTCTATGGTTGTTTTTGAATTAATGAAAAAGGTACGGGTTCAATACAGATCCTGCCTTGTTTTTTTTTTTTGTTTTTTTTAAATGAACATAATGTAAAAAAAAAATCAAAACTCGTGTTTTCTGAATCTTTAATATTCCATGCATAAAGATCATACAAATAGTTATTTATACAGAGAAAATTGACACAAAACTAAATATAGAATTTATACTTATTTATTGTGGCGGATATTGGCCGTGGCACAATACAAAATTGTGGGATGCCATTTCAATTGGGCAAACCCACCAAATTCAAAGATCAACAATGTGTGTTTCTTTTTTCTAACCGTCCCGGGTTAACCGCGGAGGGTCAGCACACATACAAATTGTTCAAATCAATCAATCAATCAATCAATCAATCAAATCAATCAATCAATATGTCATATCTCAAATTCCAATATCAAGCATATCAACTTATTTTATCAAATCTTGCATATCAAATATCATTAATATCTCAAACTTCATAGATAACATCTCAAACTTCAAATATCAACATTTTTCATATTTCAAACCTGTACGATGTAGTACAGTTCTAAAGTATATAATACTGTCACCAAGAGTAAGCTTATTAGCTTAGTTTACACAAGCATTAGCATTTCAACAAGGTGACAGTTTATTACAAGTTTCACACAAACATTCAGTTATCAGTTGACTTGGTGTGCGCAGACGCCACATGGCTGCAAGTTGACACAGCTTGCAGTCACCCCACACATTGGGGGAAGCAAAGCAAGTCAACTGGACCACGACCAATACTGCCAAGACCCCCCTTCCCAGCAAGATACTCGCACACATCTTGATAGGTAGATGTGCATGCCTTTTGCAGACTTAGAATAAAGTATTTTGAATTTCCCATAATTAAGAAAAGGTTTTACAACACATAAGGCAATCAATCCTTACCAAATGTGATGTATCTCACTTAATTCCTCAATGCCTAATAAAGCTCTGTTTTGTAGAAACTTACATGCCTATTAATTCCTTCTGAAATGTCTGAGCAACCTTGCAATGCTCTTTACCACCATTGTTTTTCGTTTCTCTATTATTCAAGGCATTTAAGATATAAATGGTTGTAGTTAATCAAAATTAAAGTTTCCAAATAGGAATGTTTCACTCAAGAGAACTACCTTCATCATAATTCCTGTTTAAAATTTGCTAGGAAAGCCATGTCCTGCTGTTTGAAAAAAAAAAAAAAAACCAAATTTTATATCTCCGAAAGCGACACATTCACTCTCTAATTACCTGTAAACAATTTAAGCAGAGCAATTTGAAATTCTTCGTCATATTCAATTACAAGAAGGTACAACACTACTTAGTGGTGGTTACAAATGTCTGTAAAAGACAATACTACCATTTTGGAAGCATACTGGCCTTGCTTAATGATATTCCTACAAAAAAATACATTACCTAGTATTCCAATTTGTATATCATACTTACCAATTAAGCTGCCATGAAGATATTTGGCACTTAATAGATGCCAATTTCAAACTAGGATTTTTTGGCTGCAATTTCATTACCCATCCTTGCAGTACTCGTGTACTCGACTAATCTTATTTATGTGCTAATTGACTAAATCCCTTCCCTCTTACATATTCTTTCAATAAATATTATTAATGCCTGTGATACATGTATGTGCATCTGAGCTCTACAGCTCTATATGACCACAATCTTCCACTGTGTAGCCCAAATGCATAGCAAAGTCTAAAATTCTTTAAGGTATAGATGTTTAATTATTAATTACATCAAATGGAAATATTTTATTTTATATAATGTGCAATGGGCCTGAATACACCTATTACATGTACTGCTATCAATATGTGCTTGATCTTTCTTAATAGTATTTTGATTAAAAACATACACCAAGTGAAACTCATTTTAAATGCAACCCCAAGGGACAATGCAAAGTCTTAAGTTTTAAAGTCTGCATAATAAGAACAGAGTTACAAAATATAAGCACCCTGTGAGGAACTTTAATAGCCCAAACATCTCAAAATTGAAGCCAAATGCAATTCAAGATTGAGCAATCTGTATAAAATTCCAAAAACATATAAACTTCCTGTGAGAACTCTTCCGAAAAATAATTGATACATTGTTAGGGATTAAAGGAACTTGCCTAATTGTGTCACTTCTTGTGTGTAAAAATAACCAGAGTTTAATTAAGACCATATATTTTATTTGCAACTAACATTCTGTTGCATGTCCTACAAGTTTACCTGGATTCTAGAAGTAATTACAATCTAACTTGGTATTTCCAACACTTTATCTTATGTAACCTGAACTGATCTGGAAGGTCATGTCTACCAACATTTCAAAATCCAATATCTCTACTGAAAGCTTTTCCTGATCATCCCAAAAACTTTAAGAAAATAAGATTTGACATTTTCTTTTTTGCTTTAATTATTAAGAACCAAAATATATTCATTTATAAATGATTACAAAACATCCTCAACATTCCTTGGGCTACATATCCCAATTTCCATCCTTTCATTTCCACTTTTTTTAGATCAAAACAAAGCTATCCTAGTAATTCCAGTCTTAGGCAATGGATGGTCTATGGTTATAAATAAGTATTTTGTATTTTCCTTTTCATTCAAGAATTAATATGAATTGATACAATATGTTGTTTAACAATGAAGATGCCCCTTCTTCCTCATTTTCTCCTTTGTATTACTATATTTCAATGACCATTTTGTTTCCAATTGAATAGCTAGCAAATGGAATCAATGACAAGAAAGCTCCAACAAATACACACTTGAGAAAGGCATTTTCCAGAGGATCATTGCTCCCGGCTCCAAATTTAGATCTCTTTACTTTTTAAAGTCATCTATAATGAGTAGGATGCCCAATTTCAGTGTAAATCTATAAAATTTATGATATGCAACTGATCTTATCATTTGCTTTATAAATATCAGGGGCTTTCACAACATTAGATAGTAATATTTCATGAATGCAAAGAACTAAACTCGAGGAAAATTGGGTGCATTTAAATAACTATAACAAAACTCTTCTCTGGAAAAGATATGTACTTCATGCTCCTTTTTACTTACATTCATCACAAACTTGAGATGTATACTATATCAGCCTGAAAATTTTGGCATTAATGCATAATAGTTTTTAGCCATGTTGAAATACCTAACAGTTCTGAGTCATGTTGTAAGTAATGTGTTATAATTCTGAGCCATATTGTAAGTAATGCCTAATAGTTCTGAGCCAGGTTGATCCATGTTGTATTTAATGCCTGGTAGTTTTAAGCCATGTTGTAATTGATGCCTTAATTGTTCTGAGCCATGTTGTAAATAATGCCCCATAACTCTGAGCCAGGTTGTGGCATGTTGTTAGTTGTACCTAGTAGTTTCCAGATATATTGTAGTTAATGCCTAATTGTTCTGAGCATGCTGCAAATAATGCCCGATAGTTTGAGCCACATAGATCCATGTTGTAAGTAATGCCTAGTAGTTTTCAGCCAAGTTGTCATTAATGCCTAATTGTTCTTAGCCACATTCTCAGCCATATTTTAAATAATGCCTTAAGCCTAATACGGCTTAGCCATGCTTTACATAATGCCTAATATTCTACAATCAAACACAATGTTGCAACTGTTTACATCTATAATAGAAAAACTGAATATAATCTCACAAATAGGTTTTTAATGAAAATGTGCAATGGGTCTGAAACATTCTTATGTTACATATGAAAAATTAAGCTGCTGTATTATCTGCACCTAACATCACCTAACATTACAAGAGCATATCAAAACAATCTATAGGGTTATTTTGACCATAATTTCAGGCAACTGCAATTCCTTATTTTGAGAGATATCAAAGTTAAATTTAATGATTTTTAAAAATGTAGATCTGCAGCTATTTTGGGAAATTATTTTATTTTTAACCTAATTTGTAAAATTTACAGGTTGTCAAAATTCTCCCTCTAATTTTGAAAGTTAACATTTCTTAAACAATTATTAGTTATAAGCCATGCTGACAGACTTTGCTTATAATTTTGTGTCAATCTACAGTGGAAAAGACAACATGTATTAACACTCAACTGTTAAAGCAATACAAAGGTGACTGATGTACCTGATATACTGGACTGTGAATCTGTGATGATACTTATACTTATGTCTGGTTTTCCCAACGATTTAAAGATAATTTTCTATGCTTTTCTCTGACTTTTAGTCTTGTACTTGGGTCCATGTCCACGAGAAGGTCCGACCGAGTTTCCTTATTGTTGTTTCATAGGACCTATTTTAGTTTGCATTTGCCGGGTTTCGAAGCAGTATGAAACAAAAAGAAAGTTATTAATGTTAATAACCAACATTACATCATTGTAAAACAATACAAAGGTACAAGTAAACGATTTTTGGTATAACCGCGTGCGCGTCGTCTGCTTTGTAAAATGTTTGAATCCAATCTCATCCGTCATAATTAATGCACATCGATATTTATAACAGCGTTAAAATGGTTGAGAACAATGCATAAATGAAAAATCATACGATTTTTTAAAGTTACAAAACAACATTTCATGTATTTTATTGCAAGCAATTGTTATGGTCTTTACCTTTGAAAGGTTCAGGAGAAAGGAATGTGAATAACAAACCCGACCTTTTATATACTACACTTGATGTGTCAACCGAACCCGACCCTTAAAAGCCAACGTTCAATAACAAATACTTGGGACCTATAAACTAGGATATAGGTCCCTTCAAATATACTTTTCTCGTAAAATAAAGGCATCTATTTTGTATACACAAATAGATGCTATTATTTTCTCATGCATAAATATCATACAAATATACAAATCATTATTTTTTCATGACCTTTTCAATGTTAATTGGGACGTCATAAACTTGCGCATTTTCACGTTTTATTCTTAATAAATTGTAGAAGACATCAATTCTTAATGAAATTTTCTTTTACTTGATATTGTCCAAAGGCATCACTCATTAAGATTTTGAGATATGTGATTTTTCAAAGAGTTTTGAACACCATAAAGTGTACAACAGCCGTGGAGACTATTTTCTCAAGGAAAATAACCCTTGAAATGAGTAATTTTGAAACTACTTATCTTAAAAATAGAGAAATGCATCTTATTAATGACGTCATCTTTGCAGAATGGTACTCCTTCATGCCATATGTTTTTTTTCTGATTTATAACAATCATATTCTTTACTAATGTGTAAGCCAGTTTCAAAACTTTTTGAAAGCATTAAATTTTGATGACACAATGAAGCTTGTATAACCGTACTTTTTTCTTTTATTGACATATCTTTTATGTTCCTTGGTATAACTATGTCTCTTTTTATTGTGCCCTTTATTCTCCTACTTGGTCGTGAATTAAAAAAAAATCAATATACATTACCTTTTTGATGCCTTTATATATTTATGACCAATCATGGCTTTGTAATTCTTGTGAAGAATTTTAAAGACTTTTCCTATCTATTCCAATGTAAAACTTTGATCACCCATTGTGGCCCTACTTTAAGCCAGGAAATCATGATTTAAACAGACTTGTATGTACACTACCTTAGGATGCTTCCATAAAACTATGACCAATCATGGATTTGCCGTTCTTGAGAAGAAGATTTTTAAAGATATTTTTGATTTTAAACTTTGTCCCCCTTTGGGGACCCACTCTATACTCGGGGTCATGATTTGAACAAATTTGATTCTATACTACCACATGGTGCTTCCAAATGAGTTTCATATTTCCTGGCCCAGTGGCTGTATGTAAGAAGATTTTTAAAAGATGCCATTATTTTTCACTATTTCATACACTCTTCCCTCTGAAAAAGGTTTGGCCATTTCTTTGCATAAACTTGAATCCCCCATACCCAAGGGTTCTTTGTTATAAGTTAGGTTAAAATTGAATCTGTGGTTTTAGAGAAGAAGAAAAAAATGTGAAAACTTAACCACAAAGTTTACGAATAGATTTTGATCAGCGTAAACATTTGATTAAATAGCAAGAAAATGGATTATTACCTGCACCAAAGATAAAAACTGAAGCGATAGCGAGAATCATATCAAATCTGCACTGAAAAAAAAAACTGGTAAAAGTCACGAAGGAGACTAGTAAATTTATATGTACTGTCCATAAAACCACTCCAAAGTATATTTACTAGGTACTAAGTAAATTTACTAGATAACATTAGTAAACCTAGAATTTATGTGTAACTTTCACTGGATTATCTGATATTTTTATGACCCCAGCTCCACGAGACGCACTCTACTCACTGTCGTAGCCAGTAAACAGAATGATTACTAATCACGACGAACCCTTTACTATACATATTACATAAATCAACTAGGTATTTCTTTCAGTGTGTGTGTCTTATCTTTATGTACATAAACATTTAACAAATGTATCATTAAGTTAACGACAAGGCTTGGAGGGATGTTGACTAGAGTTCTTAAAAACAGAATGAATAAAAGGATGAAATATCAATAATCACCTCATAAATCTCCAAAGGCGTAATAAAAGCATGCGCAGGGCCAGCTTTATTGTTACCCATTCTCATTGAAATTAATGAAAAATAATCTATTTCAGAGAATATATGTGGAAGTTGTCATCAAGAATTTAATTGCAAAGGTTTAAAGGTTTCTAGAGATGTCGCTTGGAAACGAAAGTGTTACAGACAGACAGAAATACAGCCGAACGGAGTGACGGACAGAAGGATAGAAGGGACAAAGGGAATAATGGTATAAATCAAATTGCAAAAACTCAAAAAAGCTTTCTGAGATATCACCCGGAAATGAGAGTTTTACACACACAAAATGTATGAATTAACGACCTTGACCTTAAACTTTTTTATCTTAAAAAGGGGTCTTCTTAAAGCCATAGGGAGGTGTGGTATAGAATATCATTGCAAAAGCTGAAAGGTTTCTCAAGATATCGCGCGGAAACAAACGTGTTAAAAATAGACCAAATCATTTAATTTATGACCTTGACCTTTGATCTTTTGACCTCAAAATCAATAAGGTTATAGGGAGTTACTGTATAAAATTTCAACGCAAAAGCTCAAAGGGTTCTCGAGATATCGCGTGGAAACGAAAGCGTTACAGACAGACAGAACTACAGATGGACGGACAGACGTACAGGCTGACGGAAATTAATTTCCCCCATTTTCAGCGGGGAACAACTAATAAAAAAAATTAAAAAATGAAAATTTTGTTTTCCCGATTGTCTGTTCTTCTGTTTGTTTAGCTGTCTAGCTTTCTGTTTTAAACACTATTCCCACAGGATATCTCAAGAAGAAGTCTACTCATTTGCAATGAATTTTTATGCCCCAAACTTCCTAAGGCTTAAAGGAAACCTTCTGTTGGAGTCAGAAGTGTAAAGGTAAAGGTAGGACATTAACAGGTATGAACTATGGAGATAACGAACGGTATTCAAGATCAAAACTCAATAAAACTATACAAAGTAGGAGAAGAGCAAACACAGACCTCCAAAACATCAAAGGTGCGATCAGTTGCCGTGGAGGAGTGAGCATCCCATGCTGACCGGTCACACCTGCAGTGTCGTCAATTCGGTGTATAAATTATGCACT